CTAGTGGGGCCCTCGGCGCCCCAAGAGCAGGGGCAAGGGGTGGCATCTTAGCCCCCGCCCAAGAAAAGCGCAGGACCCACCATACTAACATTGGCCATCTTGTCACAATACTCATAAAGAGTTTTGAGATCCTTGGACGGAAGGTGATCTATAGATATAAGGTCAATATATTATGATTATTTCCTTGCTATTTTTATAACTCATTATTTTTAACTTGTAGTGTATTTTGGGATCTCTACTGTGCAGCTCCAGAAAGACGAGAAACATGTGAACATTCAAGTGAAGCTAAAGCCTTTCATGATTATGTAAGTTATATATATATCTTACTGTATTTGGTTTATTGTATGTCTGATTATTATAGTCAAAGAAAAATGTCTGGGCAGTAGTGATTCAAAAAAAGAAGGAATATCTGCTATACAGCTTCCTGATCTCAAGTACTCTGAGTTACTTTCCATAGATGCCTTAGAATGAGATTGTTCTTTGTACATTTGCATCCTGAAAGGAAGTAAAATCCTCAGCATGTCCTTTTACCTTTTAAAGAAGCATATCATGTTACAATATTTAGACTAGGTATTATGAAGTGAGTTAAATATAAGGGGCTGAATCATCTGATCCAGCAGAGCAAGACAACAGGAGGAATAAGGGGGAAAGGAGGCTGTGTGCGACTTTTGAGGCCCTTTGGTTCAGCTCCTGGCACAACTTAAAGCAGCCTCAGAGTTGGTCAGTTACCTTGCCTGCCTATGGCCCAAAAGAGCTGTGCCAGCAGCTAGGGTAGCCAGAATGCAGCACCCGTGTTCCTTTTTCTCCAGCCACATCCCTTATGCTGGGGTGAGGATAGGGAGTAGAGCCACTGTGACAATTCTACGTCATCAGTGTTGATGGAATCCTCAGAAGGCTCGCCAAGAAGGCTTTATAGCCCCTATGTGCCTCCAGAGTGACACAAAGAGGCTGTAGTGGGGCCAAAAATCTGGCCAGGGTATTAGTCTTAAGTGTGAGTTTCTTTAGACTTTTTTCAGTTTGTCAGACCATTACTTTCAGTTACCTTTTTGTGTGGAATTATATTTTCTGAAATAATTGTGAAGTAGACTGTTATTACAGATTGCCAAATTCATGCGTATTAGACAAAGTCTGGATGGATCAGAAGATTGATCTGCCACCTTCACTGCACCTGCCAGATCCCTACTGATGGATCCAGCATAGAAAAATATTTGGCATCTGCTATATCCCCCCAAGTTTCTCCCCTTGTAGGTAGTGGAAAGTTAGCCTTCAGGTCTATTGCACAATCTGATACCCACTGCAGTATGACAACGATGGATACCAGTCGTAATATACTATCTACTGCCCAAAAGGCAAGGGGTTGCTGCTGTGTAGCAATGTAGCCCCATCCTACGCATACTACGTCTGATAACCATCATCATCAAGGCAAGGGGGCTGGTGCAATGCAGCCCCACGGCTGCCAGCCCCATGTCTGCCAGCACCCAGATCGCCCTCGGCCTCTTCTGGGTGCTTAGCAGAAAACTGGGTGCTTTGCAGAAAATAGTATACTACGACTGATAACCATCATTGTCTGCCCAGGTGCCCATGATCGACAGCCACTGCTGTCCGACGAGGACGGTTACCAGTCGTAATAAACCATCTACTGCCAAAAGGCAAAGGGGCTGGTGCAATGCAGCCCCACGGCTGCCAGCCCCAAGGCTGCCGGCACCCAGATCGCCAATGAAGGCTACCAGTCATGCTGCACCGTCTACCGCCAAAAAGCAGTTAGCTGCTGCTGCTGTGTAGCAATGCAGTCCCACGTCTGCCGGCACCTAGATAACATATGGTGACGGTGAGCTGAGCTGAGCGGGCTCCATGCTTGCCATGGTATGTTGTCTGCACAGGTAACCCAGGTAAAAAGACGCGAATCTATTGTCTGCCGTTGCTGTGACGGAGGGGGAAGGGCCTGACGACATGTACCCAGAACCCCCCGCGGCACTGTTTTGCATCATCCGGGCATTGGGATCTCAACCCAGAATTCCAATGGGTGGCGGAGACTGCGGGAACTGTGGGATAGCTACCCATAGTGCAATGCGCCGGAAGCCGACGCTAGCCTCGGTACTGTGGACGCGGTCCGCCGAACTAATGCACTTAGAGCATTTTATGTGGGGACACACACAATCGGCTGTATACAACCGATTTCTATAAAACCGGCTTCTATTAATTCGACCTAATTTCGTAGTGTAGACATACCCTAAGAGCCTTTAACTTCTAGGTTACCCATTTGAATCCTGCATGTTGTCCCAAATTGTTGTCATCTGATGACTACATAGTATCTTACAGTATGTGAACTAGAGGTGATCTTGGTTCCATTCCTAGTTGACAGAAAATTGTGTAGCAATTAGCACTAACTGGCAGATTCTGCAAAAAGACCAGGGAATAAGTGGGCATCATGCTTGTATCACCCCTTTAAATTGTCCTTTCTGGTTAGGGTTGAGGCCAGTTAGCAGGATAGCATGAATAATTTTGCACATCAGCTGTCTATGCTGTACTTGTTTTGTGGACAAATAATAAGGCAACAGTCTTCAGAGCTACCAATCCCACACCTTTCATGAGCAATAAAAAAATGGAGGAAAAAGCCAAAATAAAATTGGGGGAAAACACCCAGCCATGTATTCATTGTAGTTTGCTGAGTTGGGAAATTGTGTTTCTGAGAAATGGAATTGTTAAAAAATGTACTACTGTGAGTAGATCAAATTTCTGTAATCTAAGTTCCTTTTTCTCTTTTAGTACTTGTTTATTTAAGGGCACAATATTTTGACATATTTGCTGTTTATAGCTCCTGTTAATAGAACAGTACTTAATCCCCCTCTTCTGGAGGCAGAGTTTTTCTGATGATGTTACAGGTGTGTGCTCTACTCATAACTTGGCAGCGCCTTCTCGTGGCTCATCTGGGGAATTAGCTCGTCATTGTTTGCGCCCCATCCTGCAGTCAGTCGGTCAGCCCATTCTCAGTCACTGGGCCTGCAACCCCTCTCTCACTGGTCAGGAACTGCAGAGCCTCTCTTCGTGGCTTAGTCAGCCAGCCAAGTCAGTCGTCTTCCTCTTCCAGGGTCTCAGGCAGTCTCAATCTCCACTTCTGTGCTCCACTCCCACAGTGGCTTGTAGGGGAACCCAGGCCCACCTTCTACACTGGGTTCCAATCCAGGGATCCTCAAACCAGAAGTTCAGGTTTATGCCTTTCAGATCTTACCGCTCTTTCCCTTGACTGCTTCCTACCCTGCTTTTCTCAGGCTTCTACTCTCCCCCTTGTATTATGGCTTGTGACTGCAGACTCACTTCTCTACCCCCTCCCCATCTACTGCCAACTTCCTCTCTTTATAAACCCTGCCCAGCTCCTCCCACAGCAATTAGGCCTTAGCTCTCCCTGGCTTTCCACCAGGTGCAGCCTATAGATTAATAGCCTTAATTTACCCCTTCAGGCCTTGTGTGGGGTGGACAGCCCATAACAGTTGGAATGAAGGGAACAGAGTTCAGTGAAGTAAATTTGGGGAGATCAGAGCCTCTAAAGTGACAAACCTACTATAGTAAAACATTATACTATCATAACCGGGGATGTGCCAGAAGTAAAACGTTTTTGAAACTCTAAAAATTGTGAAATAATCTTAGATGTAAATTAGTAATGAGAGGATACCTTCAGTGAAGGATACTTTCATGTTGAGAAATGGAAAATGAGTTGGAGCCCAGATCTCCTATTAAAGAGTTCACTGTTGATGCTAAACTTGGAAACGCACTGAGGGATGATTTCAGTAGTTGAATCAAAATAATACCTAATGTGTTTTGTTGTCTTAACATGACCTCTATAATGTTATAATCTCTATTATTCTGTGTTTGCTACTCAGTCCTATTGCTCATTTTGCTTTGTCTGTTGTTCATTGTCATCATTCAAAAATATCAAAAAAGTAATCAACTAAGTTTTTTGCATAAAACAGATGTATATTTGTATGGCTAGTCAGGTCACTGTGGTCGTGGTCTGGTTGGAAGTAGGTCAGGGAAGGGAGAAGGGAGACACATGGTAGGCTCCTGTATGTATGCCAACCAGCATAGGGCAGGACCTACACACATCCTTTCAATGTCAACCTGCTTTACAGTCAGTTTTTAATTTGAGATTGATGGATTGCTTTTTGAAGTCCCCTACCTTAAAAAACACAAAGCAAAAAACAGAGCTTTGTTTTACAGTTGTTAGATCTAAAATGGCACGATTAATAACTAGGTGATAGAATAATTGCAGGTAAGGCATATTTATTATGGGACAGTGCCTGTGTTATAGATGCATGTTCCTATTATTGCTATTACCTATTATAACTTGTGCTCTCTCATGAAGTATAACAGGGATAACTAGTTGTTGTAAGATTTTTTTTAAGCTATATCATTGGGATGTGTGCAGCCTTTCGTGTGACAAAAATGTGAATCTGATATTTCACTGATTTTTGCCACAATTGAAGTTGACTGTCTGTACTTATGAATATGAAATATAACAGGACCAATACTGTTTTTGTTTCATCTGCTTTTAATTATATGCACTATAACAACACATGACTTTGAAGTCTAGCATCTACTTTTAGATTCTAAATTCTTACAAATATATTGTATATACATATTGAAGCATATGGCAATGATATCGTGGAAAAGTATAGCCTAATAGGTTAGGTGTAATAGATGTAAAACACAAAGGTTTTAAAATATCCTGCCCCAATGAGAGTTTTACCATTGACTTCAAGGGGGCTAGGATTTTACACTCAGTGAAGTACATTAAATTGCCAGTATTAGAATTCGAGGCTGTGGTTCAGTTTAAAGGCTTTGATAACATCAAAGCCATTATGGTGGATTGTAATACAGGTATCCAGTAATAGAATATGTGTAATATCTAAAAACTTTAGTTGTTAGGCACAACAAAGCCACAGAAGGTTTGTTTGTTTTGTCATACTTTCTTAGGTATGTACCTTGTTGGTCTAAGAGAAAGATTCTTGTTTAGGGTGTGAGTGGTCCTTGGTTCTTATCCCAGAGAATCCCTCTTTAACAACATGTCCTTTGGTAGGATGAACTAGGTAATCTAATATGTTTTTTCTGACTCTGGCTTTTAAGAAACAGGAAAAAGGTTTAAGAACATTTGATGCAGGAGGAGGGTAACTTAATAATACACCTCTACCCCAATATAACGTGACCCAATATAACACGAATTCGGATATAACGTGGTAAAGCAGCGCTCCGGGGGGGGGGGGGGGGGGGG